ATAATGATACTTTTCTCGTGTCCGATCGAGGGCTGTTATTCGCAAGGTTGACTGTACATGTATCTATGACACAGACTATGCCACAGACTATGACACAGACTATGCCACAGACTATGCCACAGACTATGACACAGACTATGACACAGACTATGACACAGACTATGACACAGACTATGCCACAGACTATGCCACAGACTATGACACAGACTATGACACAGACTATGCCACAGACTATGACACAGACTATGACACAGACTATGCCACAGACTATGCCACAGACTATGACACAGACTATGACACAGACTATGCCACAGACTATGACACAGACTATGACACATGGCAGTACAGAGTGTACTAGCGGCTGCACTGTAATGTCAAATGTCCAATGTAAATCTGTTGATCCAATCAACATGTAACTCCATACCGCTAGGTAGCTAAGGGAAGATTCAAGCCTGCATACCACAGTTCACTCACCGCGGCATATTTAGGATGTGCTGGAATGTTTTCAGGAAGAGCTTTGATCAGCAGGGATATGTACGTCAATATGGAGTTCTCGTCTGGTACGGCCATATTGAAATCTGCAGCAGCACATCGCCAACAAACAAGATACAGTAAGTTATTAGTCAAGCAAAGCCAGGCAAAATTCTGAGCTGGACAAGGCCATGATTTATTGCATGGGGCTAGCAAGCAAAAATTGATGTGGCTCACACTTCCTGATGTCTCACCTTGGGCACCGTGTAAGAAGGCCTTAGGGTCTGTTGGGAATGCCCAAGTAAATAATAAAATACAATACAGTACAAAATGTCTTCACTGCTCCTAGTTTTAGTGCTCACCTTCAGCATCCAGCAGCTGAATGACACCAAACTCGCTTTCAAAGGCGGAGAATGCCTGCTGAAGATTGGCCATGTTGTCACCAGGATGCAGACTATCAAAGTCCACCATGTCCGGACTGGATGTGGATAGGATCACACAAGAACACCGCAAGGCTTTCGACTGACATGTGTGTCACACAATAACAATATTATCTCATGGCATGCACACCTAGTACGGGGCTGTCAGCCAGAGAAAAGGATGGTGATCTAAAGGTAATCTATACAGCCTGGTGCATACACATGTAGGATTTCTCAGAGGGTTTCCATTGGTAAGGAATGAGAGGTGAAGACAGTGGATTCTATGCACACTTGCACATCGTGAAACGGTTATAAGATATCAATAATCCACCGTGACCGGTATTAAATACGGAGTTTGTAAATACTTAGTTAAAGGAGTCGATATAGCTACAAGTAACTGTTCCAGCGAAAGTTGTTTAGCATGGGTAAAGCCTTAAGAAACGCCTGGCCCAGTAGAAAAGAGACCCCCTGGTACGGGCCTGACTGTCAGACAGCATTAGTGACAGTAAATGAACTTGTTGCAGACTCTTCCTACCGGAATCGGTTGAGTATTGCATTGAAGGCCAGGCCGTCTTTCCAGCTGGTGCTGAAATTGTCCACGGACACACCTGGGTAGCTGCAGAAGCAACAACAAGAGAAGGAATGGAAATCAGTGTCATGTAGGTAGGGATGTATGCAAAAACAAACTCTCAATTCAATTCACTTGCCATCTTCATTAGGCTCACTGACCACTCATTTACAAAACATACTACTAAAGCAAGTAACAATCCTGAGCCATCGGTTTGGAACTCAGAATATTATGCAACAAAACCAACGGGATTGATACAACTGGGGCTAGTTTGCGAAGGATCACTTGAAACCAGTAAGAAAGAACTGTGTACAAAAAGTTCATTTCTTTCCCGCACATCCAGGATCTGCCTCTATGCCGTGATGAGTTACACAGACTTCCAACCCTTGCGAGGCAGATGTATGCACAAGGTGGATACCTTATTTTCCGGAGTATACACCGCACTTTAACCCTTTTTAAGCCCTAACGTACGGATATACAGTATCCGTACCGCGTATAAGCGCGCATTCAAACATGATTTTGAGGCACGCGCCGAGATCGTAGCTTCAAATTCTTGCACAGCTGGATTCAGCAGGAAAATTCCTTCCGAATTTGACTATAAACCTGGCAGGTGCCATCTGAAATTTTTTCAGTGCGCTGAAGTTCAAACAAAAGTTTTTAGTTTGGAATACGCTTGACACGAGCTATGCTTGCAACTAGTTGTTGTGTATCTTGTCAATTTTTGGTTCTGACGTGGTTTGCTCTTTCGGAACTAGCCGAGCGAAGGAGCGTGATGGCCAGGCGAGGCGTGAACTCTTTCCTTGATGCCCAAGCTCTTGGAAACGAGGCCGTTGCAAACGCTGTGGCAGAAATGCTCACAGTCATGGTTGCCAGAACAAATCAGTACGCAAGGCAATGCAAGGCAAGAAACTGGGTCGACGTTGATCAGGCAGAGATGCGCGCATTCATCGGCATCATGATCGCCATGGGCATCAACAGACTACCAGCACTGAGGGATTACTGGTTGGATCACGACTTCCTTAGAAATGTGTTTATTTCGCTGACATTCCAGCGTGACAGATTTCTGAAGATTCTGCAATATTTCCATCTACCTGATAAAACGCAGCACGCAGCAGGCGGCCGCCTCGCGAACGTATCCGAGTTTGCGGAAGAGCTCAACCAAAAAATACAGCATTCGTGGAATCTCGGCTGGGAAATATCTGTAGATGAGTCGTTGGTGCCAACCAAAGGTAGATCCTATCTCAAGCAATATATCAAGAACAAGCCCCACAAATGGGGTGTGAAGCTGTAGGTGCTTGCTTGCAGCGCAAAAGGCTATATGTGGCGCTTCTCCATCTATTCCGGAAGAGAAGGAGATCGGCCAAAACAAGGATTGTTGTACGCCATTGGGATGAAGCTGATACGGCAGTGCATATTATTTTATGGACAACTTTTACTCCAGTGTAAATCTATTCGTGGACCAATTCAGTCATGGAACGTATGCGATCGGTACTGTTTCGCCGTAATCGTAAGCACATACCCCCCCCCCCCCCCCCCCCGGATATCACAGACCCGGCAGCTGTAAAGAGACTGAAACGCGGCGAGTCACTCTTCCGGAGATCATACTTTCTTCTCTGTACAACATGAAAGGATACAGTAAGATCGGGCGCCGAAGAACGCAGGGGCTCGAGCGCAGCCTAGGAAAGTTCTTAAATTTTTGATTCTAGCCAGACCGTTCTTATTCACACGCGCGCGGCGAGTCGAGTGACGTCATGACGTTTGTCATGTACATGTACATGTACATGTAGTGCAATGTAGTACTTCTAAACTAGTGGGTGTCGTAAATGGGAATGACTGTACATGTAGCAGTTACTGTTTACACGTGTACATGACATGTACTCACCTCCCATACATGTACAATGTTCCAAATTTTAAAAGTGTTCTTAAATCTGATAATTCTAGCCTGGACTGTTCTTAAATTTTGCCGGTTTTCCAGCCTGGGTGTTCTTCGGCGAGGTGTTCTTCGGCGCCCGATCTTACTGTACTCGAGATGTGACTATGCTCTCGACTTGCTCTCCCGCTAAAGGGCCGGATACCGTTGATAAATAGTAGATGTCTGTATTCCGTGACAAAAAATCTGTGTGCGGCTTATACTCCAGTGTGGCCTATACTCCAGTGTGGCCTATACTCCAGTGTGGCATATACTCCAGTGTGGCATATACTCCAGTGTGGCATATACTCCAGTGTGGCATATACTCCAGTGTGGCATATACAGTGCGTATGGGATAGCGTGGTCGTGTAAAAGAATATACTGCCTACAAGAATGACCTCTCATGTTTTCATAATCATAACATGGATTTCATGTGCACATTTATTCTTATAATAGCAATAAAAAGAACAAATTCTGCAGTCATCGCCACACTACAACGAAGTCATGAAAGTTTACCAGAATTAATTTTCTTGTCACATTCATCAGTGGAAAGTCGTGACTGAAGAGTAACCATGCTGAACAATGATTAAATATACATTCAATGATGTGTTACGAGAACAAAATACAGTGCCAAAATAGAAAGAAGGAAGGTGAGACAATAGCAGTGAAGTGAGAGCTAAGTGCAACGGTGGGTGAAAAACTAATAATTATAACGCTAAAACTGTGTAGTGAGACAAACAATCATGCTGTGCACCTACGAAAACAATTTTAACGCAACTACATGTTTCTTCTGCTTACAAAGATCAGGCTTATGCAAACGAATACAAACAGCCTCAAGTACTTTCAACTGACTAGCATACCGTGCACGACAAAGAACAGAAAAACTAAAATCATCATACACCTGCAGACACTTAGGGTGAGACAACAAGTGAAGAAAAACGGCAGACTTCTTACGATCACAATCACCATCTGATTCCTCGTCTCCAACAACCGCAACCTCGTCCTCCGTTTCATCTCCCAACTCGTCCTCAGTGTCATCCTCCGTGTCATTCTCCTCATCAACACTGATCGGTCCCAGGCTCGTTTGACGTTGTTTAACCTCTGTTCGTTGACTCCTCCTTTGATCTTGATGGCAACTTGTTACCATTGTTGTTGTTGTTGTTGTTGTTGTTGTTGTTGTTGTTGTTGTTGTTGTTGTTGTTAAATCTTGTGTTCCCAGTGTCCTCGCCGGTGCTTGATCTCCAGTACTGTAATAATTCATTGAATAATTAGCCGTTGATCGTCTAGGTCACGAACAAGCCAACAAACTTCCCTTTCTAGACGTCCTTGTGGAAAAGTCTAGTCAGGGTACCGTAACATCTGTGTACAGAAAGCCTACATTCACCGGCCAGTACATAATGTTTGACTCGTATTGTTCGTACCAATACAAGGTGAATTTAGTGCGTAACTTGGTGGATCGAGCAGAGCGCATTTGCTCCTCTTCCAAACTAGCTGAGGAACTGGACTTCCTTAAGTCCGTTTTTCTAAAGAACGGGTACCCTGACGATCTATTGAAGGAACTCATGAGCGAAAGGCTGGATAAAAAGGAAAAACGTTTTGGCCCGGACAAATGTCCCACGTATCTTTCTCTCCCCTGGAAAGGTAACCTCTCATTATCCATGAGTCGCTTGGTACGGAAAATTGTACAGCAAACTTACTACGCGGTACATTTTGTACCCGTTTTCACAACTGTACGTGCGTTCACGGTGAGGAAGGATGTCCTACCAACCCAACTTGCATCTAAATTGGTATACCAATTTGAGTGCCGACAATGCGGTAGTCGGTACGTTGGTAGGACTCTTCAACATCTGAACGCACGTATCAAGCAGCACGTCCCACTGCATATGCTGACTGGCTCGGCACGGGCACTGCGACCAAAACGCGGCAGGCCACTGAAGAACCCTCGGCCACAGCCATCGTTAGCACAATTTCCGTCATCGGCAATAGTGCCTCCATTACCCGTATCGAGAGCCTTGGAGTCGGGTAATGGGCATATTGTCACCACAACACAATGCACCATAACAACACAAGATAACACACCACAACAACATTCAGCTCAAGACCAAAGTGGACGCTGTGATGAGGTAATGCCCTCATCGCCGTCTTTGCCGTTGCCTCCCCCAGAACCGCCACCTACATCTATCATCGGCGGTGCTGGGGCTGAGTCTGTGGTGTCGGTGGCACGTGCATATATGGATGAGGCAAGCACTGATTGTGAACAACGAGAAAGAAGGCTGAAGGGAACGGAATTCAACAAAGAAAGTAACACAATCAACATTCAAAGACCTAGACGATCAACGGCTAATTATTCAATGAATTATTACAGTACTGGAGATCAAGCACCGGCGAGGACACTGGGAACACAAGATTTAACAACAACAACAACAACAACAACAACAACAACAACAACAACAACAACAACAACAACAACAACAACAACAACAACAACAACAACAACAACAACAACAACAATGGTAACAAGTTGCCATCAAGATCAAAGGAGGAGTCAACGAACAGAGGTTAAACAACGTCAAACGAGCCTGGGACCGATCAGTGTTGATGAGGAGAATGACACGGAGGATGACACTGAGGACGAGTTGGGAGATGAAACGGAGGACGAGGTTGCGGTTGTTGGAGACGAGGAATCAGATGGTGATTGTGATCGTAAGAAGTCTGCCGTTTTTCTTCACTTGTTGTCTCACCCTAAGTGTCTGCAGGTGTATGATGATTTTAGTTTTTCTGTTCTTTGTCGTGCACGGTATGCTAGTCAGTTGAAAGTACTTGAGGCTGTTTGTATTCGTTTGCATAAGCCTGATCTTTGTAAGCAGAAGAAACATGTAGTTGCGTTAAAATTGTTTTCGTAGGTGCACAGCATGATTGTTTGTCTCACTACACAGTTTTAGCGTTATAATTATTAGTTTTTCACCCACCGTTGCACTTAGCTCTCACTTCACTGCTATTGTCTCACCTTCCTTCTTTCTATTTTGGCACTGTATTTTGTTCTCGTAACACATCATTGAATGTATATTTAATCATTGTTCAGCATGGTTACTCTTCAGTCACGACTTTCCACTGATGAATGTGACAAGAAAATTAATTCTGGTAAACTTTCATGACTTCGTTGTAGTGTGGCGATGACTGCAGAATTTGTTCTTTTTATTGCTATTATAAAATTGTTGTCTCCACGTCGATTATTTACATTTATTCTTACAAGCAATTTTATCGTACAGTAGAATATATCGTTCCTAAGAAATGGACTTTGTGTAGCGAAATATGCCAGATCAGTACAAAGTATATCGCCTGTAGTAATAACATCCGTCCAAAGCAGTTCTGATCTGACTCGCGTTGGGTCCTAGTGCTGCAGGTTCAACTATTGTGGTCATGTAACTCATGTTGCAAAGCCACATGGTAAGCCTATGTGACTGTGACCAGCCGCATGCACAGTAGCACTACCTTGTATGTACGATGATCTTCCTGCCTCTGCGCACATGCACATGATATGTCACACTTGATTTATCGTGTGTAAGAAATATCGGAAATAAGAATAGAAAGTCGTTTTTCAAACACCCACGTATAACCGATACCTACTGTACTCGAGTGTGGCCTATACTCCAGTGTGGCCTATACTCCAGTGTGGCCTATACTCCAGTGTGGCATATACTCCAGTGTGGCATATACTCTAGAAAATACGGTACCTGTCAGTCTGCATGCTACCCTATCTTAGCGATCAAAAATTTAGAGGAGTAGAAATGGAAAGATGGTCTACCTCCTCTGCAGACCCGATGTAAGTCCTTTGTTTGAGCCGAAATCAAACCAAAGCACTATGTAAGCCCTATCAACAACGAAGCCCCCCCCCCCCCCCCCCCCCCACTTTCATCCACCAAACAGAGTAGCACCATTCATAATGACTGGTAAAAAGATTGTACAGGGCGCGCTTGTAAAACAAGTAGCAGCGTGAGCAGTGAACATGGCTTACCCTTGCGTGGCTGCTCGGCACCATTTAATGATGACCTGTTTGACTTCGGTAACCGGACCAGACGGACCCTTCCTACTGCTACCGGGCACACCTTCCTCTGCATGTGGCACTGTCACAGTGGAAATCTGTACAACAACACGGCAAACAGGCAAGTACTGCATCCTCAACTACAAACTACCGTATTTCCTCGATTAATAGACCCGGTCTTTTGTTTTTTGAAGAGGGTTGGACCCCCGGTCTCTTATTTGGGCATGGTCCATTATTCGAGCACGGTCCACTATATTTTCATCGGCACATCCCTGGAAATGGTGGATTTTTAACACGTCATAATATAGAAGTTCTATATTATGACGTGTTAAAAATCCACCATTTCCAGCGATGTGCCGATGAAAATATAGTGGACCTTCTATATTATGACGTGTTAAAAATCCACCATTTCCAGCGATGTGCCGATGAAAATATAGTGGACCGTGCTCAAATAATGAAAGAAAGCACTAGCCACTACACAAATTGTAGTTGCGCAACCTAAAATCGCGTCCTTTTTTGATCCACCAAGTGCTTTCTTAGTGCGTATGCGCAAAGCGATGAACTCAAATAAGAGACCGGGTCTCTTATTCGGGCATGGTCTACTATTTTTCCGTGAGGCCTCTAGGAGGGTCTACTATTTGAGCATGGTCAATTATTTGAGGAAATACGGTATGTACTGTCATGCAGACGCGAGCAGTAGTTGGTCAACTATTGTAAACACACACACACACACACACACACACACACACACACACACACACACATGCATACACACACACACACACACACACACACACACAACACACACACACACATACACACACAGGGAATTGCAGTTTTCTAGAGCATGTGTGTGCGTATTTGAGCGGGGGGGGGGGGGGGGGGGGGGGGGAGGAGAGTGACAAAGACAGTATAATGCCGACAAGGTCATGATGAAGCCCTGCCAAAATGTACGAGTCCATGATGTAGAATAGATGGTCACCTGAAAATGCAGGATGAGCCGCCACACCAAGCCAAGAGTAAGCTTTGAGTTTCCATCCAAGATGTCGGTGTTTGTGATGTTGATAGTGTCGATCTATACAAGCAAAAGAAACCAGGAGGTGTAGAGAACAATGGACACGTTGTACATTAATGGCAATGTAATACACTTGAGTGGCACCTGCCAAACACCAATACATGTCTGTGCTAGTTCCGGCATCGTATCTGTTATCGCACTCATCAACATCCGTTTTGATGCAAACTAGTCAGTGTCATGCACATTTCCTCATAACCCCAACGAGTAGAATTATGCGTCCCCTGAAGACCGAAACCCACCTTTCGCCTTTCCAGGCACCCGAGAACAGTGTTGAGGTCTTGCAACTTGTGGAAGCGTAAGCTACCTTTCTCCCTGGGCTAAATAGCAGCATAGCAGGTAGATGAAAGGAAAACAGCGGGACAGCACTGTAAGCAGATATTCAATGTCCAGAAGCATGCATATGTGTACGTCATTTAGCTCTTGTATTAAATGCCAACTGTAACTGAAACTTCCACTGCAAGTCAGTGAAACCTGTGCTGTGCTGGCATCAAGAAACCTAGCTTTCAGCTCTATCTGCAGCTTCCTGTAAACTGACAAATTCAAACCAGTCAATACAACTCAGTGATAATTTAACTGTGAAATATTGCTAATATCCGCAGTATTGGGGCCTGTTTCACTGGCTGGCAGACCAGATGACATATGCCTGTGACCATGCACAGTTTGGCGAGTGAAGATAGTGTGTACTGTTCAAGGGACACCATGTCCCGCCCGTTCATAGAACGGTTGCCGGAGCTGTGTTCAAGGAATACTGACCAGTTTGGTGTCTGTGAGCATTTCCAGCAGCTGGATTAGGTTGCGGCCATCACGCAAATCAAAGTACAGGTCTTCCACAACCACTCCAGTCTAATAGAGCATCAGGCAACACAAGTGAGAACAAGTAGATTAGCAATGCAAGCCGAATACGAAATATTCCAAAACCCACAGGGGAACTGTTTTTACAAGTGAACCTTGACTACTGGGGAACAGTTTCTAAACAGCCATATCTCAACACGGGAAGAATGAAGCACTAATGCCTGATGGCTTACTGAGCACTCAACTAGGAAAATGACGGGTTGTCTTAGCGCTAGCCACAGGATCATTGGCTTTGCACCAGTGTGTGCAAATGTTACCTGGAGGAAAGGTGTAGCAGCATGTCACTATGTAATTGGGGTGGCAAGGGTTTTAAAGGACAGGTAATGCTGTAGAACCACTCGCCCACACACACACACACACACACACACAGAATTATACTACAGAGATGGAGTGTGCAGGGGAGAAATGTGTCACGTGTCAACAGCCACTGGCAATGGCACAAGTACTGGTACCAGTAATACAGTCCTAAGGCAAGACGCCTGGCCTGGACTGAATACTGCCTACGGGTACTGGTGATGTCCTAGCACCAAGCCGTACCACATGCTAGCCTCTGCTTACACGTTGGGTGCTAATGTTTAGCCAGCAGCCCCAAAAGTGCTTTTCCCAGCCCCTGATTCTCACCTAGTTGAAACTATGCAGTTCAAAGTCATATCTATGCTGCTATCCAGATTTGCATGGCATTGCTCAGTCTCCTTTCTTTGCGTGATTCCCAGTGTCTAAGCCGTGTGGACATTTCTGACAAACAGGCCAGACATTCGCCCTGTAGCTTATACCCCTCCTCCCCCAACACTTATTTTCGTGCAAACACAAGCTAGAATTTTACACCTTGGATGGAGGGGGGGGGGGGATTGAGTTTGTGCCAAAAAAACAATATGACCTGGCTAAGGGCATGTTCAGACTACCGATAAAAAGTGACAGAATGGGAAAGTTTCCAAGGTGATTTGATCATGCGACGTTACTAGCATGTTACCGGTGGAAAGGTTTTACTGTTGTGGCTGCTGCGGCGGTTACTGCATTCCGGCAGTAAAAAATTGCTTAGGCTGGGAGCGAGGGAAATTCCTTCTCAGTGCCGCAGTGAGAGCTGCACAACTTACGTTAGTTTATCGGTAGAATGAATGTCCTTCACGGTTTAGCGCCATTCACGGTTTGATGGGGTTCTCGGTAGTCTGAACGCGCCCTAAAGCAGCGCCATGTTTTTAATGACATCTATCGAGGTTCAGACAAGCCCACTATCCAACTACATGTGACAGTATTACGGCATACCAGCTTTCCTGGAAATCGCCCCACACATACATTTAGCACCCCGCTGTAGTACGCCCGGGGTTGCACTTTTCAACCCCCCACCCACCCAGGAATATCTCCCACGGGGCTATTTGACACATACACACAGTGGTGTCAAGGATAGTCAACATGACAACCACTTTGTACATCCAGCCTACAGGGCTTCTTGCAAGACAGCATGCACCAGCTGTAATGATTATACAATTACTGAGACGTTGGCGGAAACTTGCGGCATGGTGATACGTGCAGGAAGGCGAGGCAATGGGTTTTCTCCTGTGTCCGTACAATATGTCCACAGTCGTCCTTAGACAGATACGAGGTGATAATCAGCAACGGAGAGTCCCTGTGAACCGTTGACAGTTGGTGTGTCCTTGGGCTTTCAAACACATGCCCGCCCTTTCCTACGAAGTTTACTAAATACTCAGTTCCCGCACTCTTACCAATTGCCCTCGGGCCTAAACACTTGTTATATGGACGGAAAACTACCAACAATACATGAGTCTGTGTGCGCTGAGGGTTACGTCATGTTGGTATACTGCACATGTGGGTCTCAGAGCAGTGTGGTCCACGTTCTTAGTCTGACAGCTGTGTGTTGTATTATTGTAAGCTGCTGCAGATCATGGCCAACCGTGACTGGCACGCCACTCAAGCCAGACTCAAACCTACCTTCGCAAGGTGGGAGTTGATCCATTTTGTGAATGTCTTCTTCTGCACTGCATCGCGGCTCACTGAGAGGACATCATGAGGAAAAGTTCAGATTGCACAACACTCTTTCACTCAATTATAGAAGTGGGAAACGAAATCCAGGCCCTGCCTGCATGACTTCACTCAGTTCAGTGAGTATCATCCGGCATCACTTGTTCTGCATATGGTGAACAAGAATGCCGAGAAGAGGCACTTCTGCACACAAATTAATAATTATTACGGTCACAATTAGCCTTTACTGTACACTGAGTTAATGGATAAGATCCAGCACAAAGACAAAGTTGTCAAACGACAAACACCGGTTCGCTGTCTATATCATGGAACAACTTGACGCAGCCAAACCAATCATACTTATATATTTCTTATCACTTTAACAAGGTTTGATCCACAAAGTCTTCCATTGATGACTAGTATAACAGATTGAAACATAAACTCTGAAAGCATCCAATGACAATATTCTTTCTGAGCTGTCTTCTGCCTAGTGCCATTGCTCTGCTCTGGAGTCTGGACCTGGTACATGTACCTGCAATGGCAATGGACCTGTGATGCAATGTGCTTGCATCATCCTCAGCTGCAGCCATGTCAGGACTGAATTAGCCCTGCAGAGCTCATTAGCACTAGGCTGATGTTTGACGAGGAAAAAAAGTGCTGCCTTCTCCTTGTAATGACCCTCACTCCCTAACACAATGACTGCTCTAACCAAAGACCATGAAGGATAGTCATCATCCATCACATGATAAACCTAGACCAGGTCTTTGTACCGTAACAAGATACAGGATTAGCAGTACGACTATGTCTGCACATCTACTGGCAGTTGAACACATCCAGTGTGTGTTCTCAAATCTTCTCATGTAGCAACTAGTGGTGCCACTGGTGGCCCGCAAAACATGTAAATATTTTGCTGTGCACAGCTTCAAGCTGTTACCACCACCAGGTTAGGAATATCCACTGTCACTGCAACATTGCAACTGAGTCTGTGGCTGTGCAGTGCTGCACACAGGCGGTGCACAGCCTCCAGATGGCAGATGTGCGTTGCCACCTGGCACAGTGGCATGGCCGGTGTTACTTCATCAAGTACAATGTAGCATCATGAAAAATTGTAAATCTGTGTTGCACTATTCTTCATGTGTTTATCCTAGGATTGTACCAGCATGCAACTGTTCCTTTTGGCAACGACGTTACGTAGTCTTGCTACTTGTGATGCAGGTAGCCAGTTGGACATGCCACTGCCCAACATGTACATCTACACATGCACAGTCTCACTGAAATTTCATGAACTAAACTGCACAATGAGAGAGAGGGAGAGCTAGAGGGAGTATTGCTAGTAGGTGTGTTTACTGGACTTCCATTGACTTAGTCCAGTCACCAGGTCACAGTTGCTCCCCAGGGCCAGAGGCCCTCAAACACTAGGTGTTGCAATGCCAACACAACTAAGAGGCACCACTACTACTAGTACTGACTGTCCGTGATTGATACCATTCTCAGTACTCAAGTACACAGTGTAGTGGTAATGGCAAGCACAATACCTGTCAATAAGAATGCAACATGCCCAAGTGAATTTCAACTGTCTTTTCTCCACCTATGGCTACATAATGAATATGTTAGCATCCATGCTCGTGACCTGTTTGTGGCAAACGGACGTGCTACCCCAGCCCGTGCGTGGACCTCGCATTGCTCACAGGAAGCACAGCTTCCTCCCGCCTGTCCCTTGTGCACCTCGATACGACTGCGCCGATGGTTTGTTCGTGTACAAAAAATTAATAATAATACACCTGGCAATTATTATTTCATTCTGGCGTCCACAACATTGTGAATACAAATGAACATATTACAACACACAAGAACAGTTACTCACGAGCAATCTTCTCTCTGGACCGCTCCACATTTAGCGCGCTCATCGTCCGGCGTTGCCAGTCGGCCCCACAGGACCACGATACAACAGGCGACTATGGAGTATGGTACTGCCCCGCAGTGCTGGTGGAGCACAGCACGACACGGGGGTGATGCGGCCACTACGCGCTCTTGTCGACAACCACCACCAACATCTCCGACTCGCAAAGAATCCCCAGACTCTAGTCAACACATGCTCCTCAGACCTGGGTTTACCACTAACGTGACCAGCCGGTTTCTTGCACCAAGAATGTTTCTTCAATCAATCAATCAATCCCAAAGGTTTTGCCTGTGGTGCGGGACGACACCCTGGACTGATCCAAAACTACTAAATTATCGCAGGTAGCGACTCCACGTTAGTTACACAGCACTGGCGCATGAGATGCACCCTTGTGGAAATAGTAGATCTACTCGTGGAAAACTGACAATTATTATTATTGCCCCGCGAACGGAAGAAAATTTCCGGAATGGTCATGTGAGCTGGCGCATCTGTGGTAGGCTGACGACTGCAATCTACACACTCGCTACTGTATAAAAAAACTACATGACTTTTGAAGAGAGTCGTCGGTATCTGCCTGGGCGACAGGGCAGTCAGTAGATCTAACGATGTGGACTGGCCGGTTGTGTTGACTTGTCTTCGCGCAATTCGGTTTCCTTCGAACTCCAAGCGTCCCTACAAAAACTTCCCGCACCATGGGCCTGGCCATGTGCATGCATTGTGCAGCTAGCACACGCCTACGACTAGTAGGTCTACGAGTAGATCTACGACTCTACGAGCCGTAGCTCTACTGAGTACACCTACACTCAGCAGGCTACATGTAGCCTGCTGAGTGTAGGTACCATGGTGTACTGCATGCTGACGTCTCGTGTCACATCGGGTGGTCATGATGAGTGCAGTGCTTGACAGCATGCCGCTGGCATTTTGTTGGCAGCGCTAGCGGAGGTAGCGATGAGTAGTACTAGTACAGTCGTCCCTCTCTAATCCAGCACTTTATAAACCAGCACCCTCCACAATTTTCAGTAGCCAAAATGTCCTCTTCATGCACATAATTGCAGCAGTAAATCCGATTTGTTAATCCAGCACCCTCCCTAATCCAGCAGATTTCCGTGGCACAAATGGACCACTGTAGTATGCACCTGAAAATCGTGGAAATCGGCTCCGCTGGCGCGGGCTCTGTTCCGTGTTTATGGACACACTCATCAGTGTGGCAGTACGAGTGCAATGCCGCACGCATTGCGTGAAAGACGGCCACTCGCACTGCAGTGCAGATCCTCGAACACGGCACGGACGAAACCCGCCTAGCGCTATCCTGGATCTGGATCAATGACTTGTAGATGGATTTGGGCTGGGACTTTTTCTGTCCTCACATAATACATGTGCACATTCACACGTGACTCAGCTAGACAGTCCGAGTCACAGCGCGCGTGGTATGGTCTTGACTCTTGCGCCGCGCGCGGCAGACGTGTCACACTTGGCGCGATTTTCGTGGCCTCTGCTCGCTCACGATCACACGCGCACAACAATATCTGGCTATCTTAGGCATTGGTGGGCTTTACGAATTATTTCAAAACGGGTTGATAGAATGAGTCCACTATGTCATTGACCTCGGAGCGAGACACCAATCGATCCCTCTTTCACAGTCAAACCGGCTTGACCGTTGCCATTGGACGTAATGTGGAGCGGAGTCAGTGGGTGGCCGAGTCGTGAAGATCACGGCTAAACACAGCGTTCTATTATCATACGACACCACTGTCACCAGGGCTTCAAGGACACGCTGCAGACGCCGGTAAGCTCTTGATCGCGAATCATCTCGAGGCTCTTCTCTGTGGACACTAATAACTAATTTTACTTGTTCAGCGCTGGCAAGATGTCGGTGTATGTCATTCAAGCAGTAAGAAGGGGATTGCACTAGATCAGTATGGGCTACCAGCGATGAGTATTTCTTGCACAGTCACGACACTGAGTGGAGCCCTTGCGTGACACCAGTGCACACACATTAGTACTAGTAGCCATAACAACACACGGTGGTGACCTATCAATCACTTGCACAATCCAGTCAGCCACGTGACTTGGTCAGTCTGTAGCTAAATCCGTCACGGCCCAGCAATGGCCACTGCCTCCATGGAGGACTATCACATCTTGGGTAAGATCGGCGAGGGCGCACACGGTATAGTGTACAAGGCTAAGCATCTGCGCACGGGAGAGATAGCGGCACTGAAGAAGGTGCAGCTACGTCGCCTAGACGACGGCATACCCAACATTGCACTGCGCGAGATCAAGGCCCTGCGGGAGATCGGCAACCACCACAACGTCGTCAAGCTGCTTAACGTCTTTGCCTATGGCTCTGGCTTTGTGCTAGCCTTTGAGTACATGCTCTCGGACCTGAGCGTCGTGATACGAAACACGGAGCGGCGACTGACGGATGCACAGATCAAGAGCTACATGGGAATGCTACTGAACGGCGTCATGTTCTGTCACAGCAACCATATCCTCCATCGTGACCTGAAGCCGGCCAATCTTCTCATTAGCTCCTCGGGTCATCTCAAGCTGGCCGACTTTGGTCTGTCCCGGGTGTACGACAAGAGTGGACTGCGCCCGTATAGCCATCAAGTTGCCACCAGGTGGTACCGCGCTCCTGAACTGCTCTACGGCGCTCGCAAGTGAGTCCTGATGAACATGCTACGCGCACGCATGCGCACTTACGCACACACACACACACACACACACACACACACACACACACACACACACACACACACACACACACACATTATTGGTAGTTGCAACTCCATTGGTGGGGGGAATGATGTGAATGGGCAGTGGCATGCAATGTGCTGTTGGTCACGTAGCTATGTACACAAGAGCAGTGTGTATGCCTTCAACACTCAGTCAGCGCAGCCATTGACTCAGTTAGTGTGGGTGATGGGTTTAAATTAACACCTGTATGCTTTCTTCTTACGGTTCACTGTGTGCACGCAGATATGACAGCGGAGTGGACATGTGGGCCGTGGGATGCATATTTGGCGAGCTCTGCAACAATTCACCGCTTTTTCCTGGTGAGAACGACATTGAGCAGCTTTGTTGTGTCTTCCGTATCCTTGGTACGCCAACATCATCTATATGGCCGGAAATTGACACGCTACCGGACTACAAGAAGATCCACTTTGCAATGATGCCGGCAATACCGTTCCAAGATGTTGCTCCGGACGCATGTGCGGTGACTCTGGATTTGCTGAAGCGGTTCCTAGTCTATCCGTCGGCGAAACGCATCGCCGCCTCGGAAGCGTTGCTTCACCCGTACTTCTTCAGCGAACCCTTGCCGGCGCATCACTCTGAGCTACCCATCCCGACCAGGAGCAGGCGAGAGGAAGCTTTTGATGTGAGCGTGCCCTTAGTTGCATCAGTCGTACCTATAAGCCTGCGTGACCCATTCAACTTGAGTTAAACATTGCGGCCTTGCAAAGAACACCGCACCAACCTACTTGCAACTGCTATGACTACTGTAAAGACATGTGACATGCATTGCATTCCAATAAATTGATCAAGAGAGAAGATATAACACCCAATACCCTGAAATTGACACTGAGCGCAGCTGGATATATGGCACTAGGCCTGGTTTCAAAACAAGTATTATTATGTTTATTCTAAAATCCACATTGTTCACTGGTTTGAGGGAAAGATATCTACATCTACATTGTTCTTGATCACGTAATTGCCAGTATGATTTGTACCTGTACAAGTGAGTTGCACTAACATGTACAATTATTGTAGAAGTTTCAATTACTGCCAGAACTTTCATTACGCTAAAATGTTATGGTGTCAGCGTTGAAGCATGGGAAGTCAAGCAAAAGCATAAAGTAGAAGTAGGACTTGCTGCTACAAACCTCCAGGTATAAAATAGGGATTGTAACTACAGTGCAATCGTGTCCACGGTGAGCATTGCTTCAAAAATCAAGGAAGGGCACAAACTGCCTGCCAACTTGCCGGTTCCAAAATCCAGTGGTCTCAAAAATGAACACTGAGCAGTTAGCTGCTGATTTCACTGCTAGCTTTGTTGGACTTGGCAAACACTTGGAACGTTTCCGTGTGAGGTGAGTCCTGCTGAACTGCCACATCCTGAAGTGCAATGAGGCGGTATGCCACTGCGATGGATTTGGCCCGCGAGAGATGTGTGCGACGCTTCTTCTTGGCGATCAGATACAGCTGAGATAAGCAAATAGGACAGATATAGCAAGGGCGTGTTACAGGCAAGTGGTGAGGATATGCTACTGAAAAACTCTTACTAGTCATCACTTCAGTGGATCCCATATCACGGGCCTGCCGGACCCAGTCCGGTTGGTCAGGCTAACACTGGACCAACTTTGTAGCTACCAACGCATGTTTACTGTGGAAGAGGGCATACTACAGTGTATGTCCCCGCCATGTTATCCATGTACACAAACTGTATGAAAGACTATGGTAAAACCGGACCAATTGATAACTGCTTCAGGCGGTCCTGTCACCGTATATACTATCCACAGTATCCAGGCTCACTGATTAGCCAACCTGCCCACATAGCACAGGTATGCATGTACTGAGGTGGAGGGGCACGGAAGAGTGATGGCTGCACATCAACTCATTTTTACATCGTGTGCATGTGCATAGCCTACCGAAAGCACAGCCAGTGATATAAATCATACCTTGATAGTGTAGTGGTTCATGGATTGATGGACGTCGAATGGGAATTGCTGATCGAACTCAATGCAGTTGCCCAGTTGCTGCAGGCGTGTCTTGTGCTTCTGCCGCCCGCCGCTCACACATAGCATGGTTATCTTCACTCCAACACCTAGCCGAGACACATGCAGAATAGACACAGAGACATAGATCACTGCATTACGTGATCGGTCAGGTTCAAAGAGAGCCTGTTACTTGGGGTGACACCATGTACATGTACGTATCAGTGAAAGTAATAGATGAAATTGTTCAGGGGTCACAGAGCTCGCATAATATGGCTTGCAGTTCGGCCTTTTTCTCTGTTGGAAACCCGCGACAGTTTCTAGCCATAGGATGAAGTAACTCTCTCCATTGTGCACCCGGTTGGCTGTGAAGCCGAGACCCTAGGTCGGCGGAGCTCTCCGGACCTCACCACCAGCACCAGCACCACCACGGTTCGTATCTCGATATGATTCTCGATATGATTCTTCCGCTGCACTTGACGTTAGGTATTACTAAAGAGTCCTCCACAAGATAGAGAAAGAGAAAAAGTATTTCACGGTATGACACACCTAACAGACTACGTGTCTTGAAGACTTGTTCCTACCAGATAAGTTGGCCAGCTTGACATTCTCGTGCTCCGTCACGCCAACAAAGTTAGTGACCTTGTTCACGGTCACGAGAAGCTTCCGGCTATTTGTACAGGTGAACGTCAAACTGATTGAGGTATTCTTCACAGCACCATCTAAAAGAACAACAGGACACCAGTGTACTTCAGAAGTAATGCACATACACTCAACTTCGCCAATAACGACATTCGGCGGGGCATCAGAAAAGTGTCCTTATTCGCGAAGTGTCCTTATAACCGAAGTCCCATTTGAATGTATGTGAACCCATATTTTGTATAGTATGACATGCATATCAAAATCAAGCTCTTTTCCTGCTCTATGTCAATGTGTACTTTATTTTCATATTGCAGTTGAAAGGAACTAAAAATTCAATATGCAAGGAAAATCAATTGAAAAATATGCCTTTTGAGCCATCTACAGGGCCAGACACATGTACATGTACATGTATGATGATTACTGTACAATCATGTACAACTACATGTACATTGTATACATATACATGTAGGTGTGCTGGTAAATCCAACAATTTTGAAGCCAACATAAAAAAGGAAGAAAAAGCCCCCCCCCCCTTGGCTGCATTTTCTTGCATGTGTGCCTTTATAATAATATCCATCACCATAGGTTCTGGTACTTCTGCATGACAGGTACATGTACTTGACTGACAGGTACTTGAAATAGCTGTCAAAAGCCCAGAAAGTCGTTATTCAAGCAGTGAATATGACCTCGGGGCACTAAAAGCATGGCGCTATACGCGAATTGTCGTTATTCAGATAGTCGTTATATCCGAAGTAAAATGTATACAGTTAGATGGGACTTTGCTCTGGGCATGGAAATTCGGTCGTTATTCGCGAATTGTCGTTATATCCGCAGTCGTTATTACCGAAGTTGACTGTAGCTCAGAGCAATAGCACTGGGAGTTAATATGGTGGCCCGGCCAAATGGGACACTTGGGCGGTAATGAACATAATCGGCAAAAAACCCATTTGGCACGAATTGATTGGGTGGGTAGACTTTTTGTCTCTTCGAAATAACGGCTGGCCATGACAGGGCCGGCCGGAGTTGGTGCCACAGCTCTGTAGCTGTGCATGTTTTTTTGCACAGAATGGAGATGTTAGCCACATCCACGCTGGATATGAAGTATGCATGCAGCAATAGTGTACTACTAATCTACTAAGTCTTGCATAGGCGGGGCGGCCAATACATCCTGGCCCATATATACAGCATGTGGACTATGCAGCAATATGACAGTGCCGCGCTGTTGTAGTACGTTGCTAGGTTGCATTCGAAGAACTCTACATGAGATGTACATTGGAATATAAGGGTGAATCATCACACATACCAGTGGCGGTCAGAATAGACAATCCACCTGCTGACCTGAACAGGTACAGACAATCGAACAACCACAACCAGAGTTTTGCTTTCGGATATCAAGAGAGCAACAGAACCAGAAATACGTAGATACACAGATATTCCAACATTCCATGGAGGGAGGGAGGATATGCAGACAGAGAGGGAGAGAGAGAGAGAGATAGATAGATAGAGAGAGGAGGGAGAGAGGAGAGAGAGAGAGAGAGAGAGAGAGAGAGAGAGAGAGAGAGAGAGAGAGAGAGAGAGAGAGAGAGAGAGAGAGAGAGAGAGAGAGAGAGAGAGAGAGGAGAGGAGAGGACAGGAGAGGAAAGGAGAAAGCTTATAATTATGCAAACAGATAAAAGAAAATGCACGGTGAGGACATGAAGGGCTCGGCAAGTTTAACATGATTTACTTCATGTACTTGTATATGTGTCATGACCCGGATCAGACTCGTCGTGAAAGCAACCACGCATTGAGTTCAGCAGCCAAAAGCTGGGCTCCGAAATATTCTAGAGTTCTGTAAGAACCATGATTAGTCCTGCGAAGGACTTGGCACTTTCGTTAGTTGAGCAATCATGGCTTACAACTCGTGGCCTAGAGCCGCAAAGTGTGGCCGTACGTCGGCAACACCTTCCGTACAAGCGTCAGCATTGTACTCACTACACTGTTGAGCTTGAGGGGACCACGCTTAGCCCTGCAAGGGAGCTGATACCCTTGTTAGTTGAGCAAGAGTGGCGCCTCTTCTCGTGTCGTAAGACGCAAAAGGGTCGACAGTACTTCGCGTACTGTGGACTCCGTACCCTTTTGGAGGGAACACGGCATTGCCGCCTGCAGATACGTTTGAGGGAAGAGCCCATATTGGGTGAAGCCACAAGAAGGACGCAGCTACGCTTCCCGCCTGCTGCAATGCCTCCCAGCCCACCGGATCACGGACAAAGATCATGCCAGCATTTGGAGATGATTGATTTCACATTTGGGTGAGCGGGCTCCCCGTATGATCTTTGTACGATATTCTAGCTTGGCTGCTTGCACTACTGTTTGAAATATAGAAATAATCCTTACGCATTCTTGCCGCTGTACACTTTTGTAGTAGACAGACTTTCTCCTACACAAATCACTATGCATTACTATGTATCTGTGTATTGCACTATTCATTGTTGGCACCATCAGGTCCCTTGCTTTCATTTAGAGATCGCTAGCTAGCGCTCAGAGCTGAAACTGGCAATCTCGTACCGTATATAGATCCGTCTGTCAGTTCCCCAGCTCAGTTGTTGCAGAGTCTTTGCTTCCGTCGTTTCTGTAGTCTTACCTTCACTTTAGTCTTTCAGTATACTATGAGTTCTGTGCTACCTACGTTTGTCTTTTCGTGCAATATTATTCCCTGAGACTACTACTTGTGTTTCGAGTCGGAGAGACTGAACCAGTTTTGCCTTGTCACTCGGTCGCGTATTACAACCTTTTGATCACATAATGTAGCATATAAAAGGAGCTGTTTTGCTGACATTCATCCTCGACTCTCGGGGAGCTCACTACTCCTTCGATTCTGGGAGTCACTCCGACTCTCTCCTGCTTTGGGTCTTTGACTCTTCATGCTTGATCTTTTGATTTAGCATTGCAATGATTCAATAAACACTGTTCAAGTGGAATTTAGAAACCTGTCGTTCTGTGTGAGCTAGCTAACTTGAATGCTGACTATATTGGTCGTCTACCTGGGTAGCCACTAGACTGATCTAAGCCAGGTCATAAACACGCCAACACGCGGCCATGACTATGTGCTGAGTCCCAGGGAGCCAAATTGGATTTGTGAGTAAGGCTCAAGCCAATTGTGCTCACGTGGATGTGGCCGGGTGGAAAAGTGGTGGGAACTCAACAGTGGAGGTAGTTCCATGTCACATGCCCAGGACTTACAGGTGTTCACAGCCAGACATCTCAGAAAAGCTGGACACTAAGGAGTCAACATCGCTGCCCAGCAGGGCGTTTGAGCCGAAGGCATCACTCCATCGTCCGCGCCGTCTACCCAGTGATGGAGACTAACAGTTGCAAAACATAGACAGCAGATACAGCGGCATATAGAGCACTGCAGTGTCCCAAATTTTTTTTTAAAAATCGACGGGTTCGCGTACCGGGCAGGTCAAGAACAAGGAGTCGTACGACTCCCTGGTCAAGAGCCACCTTTCCGCTTCCGTGGGACGCCACCACCCCATGATCAGGCGTCAGATCCAGCAAGTTTTAAACCAACTTATGCGATGCTCTACCACTAAGCTATGGTGAAGTAAGTGTTACATTCCCACTCACAAGAACACACAGTTGTGGAATGTATTAGGATTATTTACAAAGAGAATAATGGACGTGCAAAGTAACAAGATAGAAAGAAGAACAAACTCAGACACAGGAAGTCTGAACTGGAGTGCGCATGCGCAGAGCATAGCGTGCAAGCAAACATGCGCAGAGCCTAGCGTGCTTACGCGCACATACAAACATAACAATCCTCCCCCTTAAGAGAAGCAATAGTAAAGCGGAGATAATTATGATCAATATTCAAATAACAGCCATAGCGTAAAGGTAGCAGTAAAGCAGTCACATCTCATTAATAAGCCTAGATGGTGACTTCGGTGCACGGGCTGATCGGCGCGGTGCAACAGGGTCTGCAGACGGACTGGGAAGTGCAGACGGTTCGGACTCGTTGGCAGCGTCTGGTACTGACGGCTGCAATGCACTATCGGGTTGAATCAAAACCGGTGTGTCAACATCACTGCGAGGAAGAACAGCATCAGGTGGCGCTGTAGAACGATGACGGAGATGATCTACATGGACATGTCTTTCCTGCTGACCAATGCGAACAATGTACGAGACCGGACCTAGCTTCTGTACAATAACGCCAGGTAGCCACTTAGGCCCGCTGCCGTTGCGAGTGTTCAATACACGTACAGTGTCCTCCACCACGAAATGACGACCTTGACCTGGCTGTGGCCGTGCTTGACGTTCACGCTGTGCAGCTGCAAAGTTGGGCTTTAAGCGTGCCAACTTGGTGCTCGGTAATTTCCTGAAGAGCAGACTAGCTGGGGACACATTCGTTGATGAATGGGGCGTGTTACGATACATAAACAAGAAACGGTGCATCTGGGTCTTCTCAGACACATCCGAAGGACGGGACTTCAGAGCACGCTTCAACTCCTGGACAATGCGTTCGACTTGTCCGTTACTAGCTGGGTGGTACGGCGGTGTACACTTGTGAACAATACCACTCTCACGGCAGAAACGCTGGAACTGGTGTGATGTAAATTGAGGACCATTGTCACTCACGAGGGTCTTGGGTATACCAAACGTTGCGATAAATGTTACCAAACTGTCAATCGTCTGCTGAGTAGTGGCAGTGGATCCAAGCTTGTATGCGTCGATCCACTTAGAGTATGCATCCACGATGACGAGATACTGCTGGTTGTTGAATTCTGCAAAATCCACATGAACACGCTCAAAAGCTTCTGTGGGGTACACCCATGGGTGGCTGGCATCCTTGCTAGGTGCTTTAGCTAGAGCTTGGCAGTGACTGCATGATGACACTAGAAGCTCAATATCGCGATCAAGGCCAGGCCACCAAACAAAGCTGCGTGCTACTGCCTTCATTCTGACAATGCCAATATGGACAGAATGCATCTCATTTAGCAGCAAACGGCGAAACACTACTGGGATAACGGTACGGCCACCACGAACTACACAGCCCGACTCTATGGTCAGCTCATGACGAATCTTGTAGTATGGTCGCGTAGCCTCGCTGATCTCAGCTGGCCATCCGAACTGTAGGTACTGCAGTACTGGAGCAATCTCACTGTCCTGCTTGCTAGCATCTGCAACATCACTAGCATCAATTGGCAAATCCTCAGTAGGATCATGGGCATGCTCGTTGACAGCACTGACAATTGCACTCTCTTGTGCGGCTGTCAGCTCCATAGGCAGGCGTGACAAGCAATCTGCGACAGCATTGCTACTACCAGAAATGTGCTCAAACACATAATCATACTCGCTAAGAATGACAGCCCAACGCTGTAAACGGGAAACAGCAGTGGCAGATAAACCATACTTCTCACCAAAAATGTGCAGCAATGGCTTATGATCAGAGCATAGAACAAAAGAGCGACCAAACAAATAAATGTGTAAACGCTTAACTGCAAACACAATGGCTAAAGCTTCACGCTCTATCTGCGAATAGTGAGCCTCTGCCTTAGCAAGCGAACGGGAAACATAGCATACAGGCCTACGGCTGCCATCAGCATACTCATGCATGAGACACGCGCCAATGCCGTAAGGCGAAGCATCGCACTCAACGACCACTTTCTCATTCACATCAAAATGAGCTAGCACTGGGGCACTGGTGAGCATACGCTTTACCTGAGCGAACACCTTCTCACACTCATCTGTCCAGTTCCACGGAACACCTTTGCGGAGCAAGTTGTTGAGCGGCTTCAGAACACTGGACATGTCGGGTAGAAAGCGGTTGTAGAAGTTGACACAGCCTAGGAATGACTGCAACGCTTGAACATTCTTCGGTGCTGACGCCTTCAGGATAGCCTCGACCTTGTCCTGATTGGGCTCGAGACCGTTCCGGCTGATGCTGTAGCCCAAGTAGCGTACACGATCCACACGGATAGCACACTTCTGCTTGCGAAGACGCACACCACGCTCTGCTAGCCGCGCTAGCACCAACTTGAGTCGCCGGTCGTGCTCTTCGACATCGCACCCAGTGATGAGAATATCATCATAGAAGCAGACGACACCAGGAATGTCGTGCAGAATCTCATCCATTGTCTTCTGCCAAATTGCTGGGGCACTGGACACGCCAAACGGAAGGCGCTGGAATGCGTAGAGACCTCGATGTGTTGTGATGACGCAATACTTCTGACTGCGTTCCGACAGCGGTAGTTGCGCATAAGCTTGGCTAAGATCCAGCTTCGTAAACACTGATCCTCCAGCTATCTGCGACAACAGGTCGTTCGGATTTGGAATCGGGTGAAGCTTGGAGTTGATGTGCGGGTTGATCGTGACCTTGAAGTCCGCGCACATGCGAATGTCCCGATTCTGCTTCCTGACAATCACAATAGGTGAGGCCCACTCTGCTGACTTGACGGGCTTGATAATGCCTTCTTGCTCCAGCCTGTCAAGTTCCTTATTGACAGCAGGACGCAAAGCAAATGGCACGGGTCTGGGGTTGCAGCACTTGGGAGTGGCACCGTCGTTCAGGTAGATCTCAGCTTCACGATCACTCACTTTGCCCAGACCATCACGAAATACTTCAGGGTACGCATCCTCTGCTGCTGGCTCACTCGCTGCAGTGGCGTTCACCCGGTTGAACATACTCTGCCAGTCAAGTCTCAACTGTGATAGCCAGTCGCGTCCCAGCAGCGGATGGCTGCCTTCACGTACTACGATGACCCGCGCACGAACATTCTGCGCGCTGTAGCGTACATCAACATCTGCTTCGCCAACAATCGGCAGGACTGAACCATTGTAGGTCTTCAGTCGCACAGAACATTCACGCAAGGCAACATGTGTCCAATGTTGCTCCCATACGTCTTGCGGCACCAAAGTGTACATGGATCCGGTGTCCACCTCCAAATCCAATGGAGTACCGTTGATCTGCACTGTGGTGATTAGCATGTTCGATGTTGGCTTCCCAGCTGACACTTGGCCAACACGAAAACTATCAGACACCTCGTAGTCCGTGACTTCGCGCACATGATGGGCGGCAGTCTGCGACGCTGATCCTGACTTGCAGCACTTAGCGAAATGACCTGTCTTGCCACACTTCCTGCATGCCTGTCCCTTAGCTGGACATGAAGCATCTCCGGATTTGTGTCCCTTGCGACCGCAGCTGTAACAACTGACACGTGTACCAGCAGCTGGGTGGTGTCTGTCTTGGCCCCTGGCCTTGCCCTGGTGCTGGCCTCTCCTGTACGTAACTGCACTGACAGCATGATCACTCGCGGACTCCGATGCTCCAGCTCCAGCAGAAACAGCACGACTAGTCATCATCTGAGACTGTGACTGTGCATCCTCCCAGACGCGACAGAGCTCCAATGCTCGATCGACTGACAACGACGGCTCAGACAATAATTTTTTCTTCAAGTCAACATTCCTCACCGTTGCTACGATTTGGTCTCGGACTGCCTCATTGGTCTGGCGAGTGTTCTCAAAGGAACATAATCTAGCCTGCTGCCGCAAACGGCTGCAGAAATGCGCCGTACTCTCTTCTGCTTGCGGAACCAGCTGGCGAAACACATGCCTTTCGTAGGTAGGGTTTGCTGGGGCTGCGAAATGCGCGTCCAAAATTCGCTTACATTTCAGGTACTCGTTATCATTCGGGGTCCTCTGCTCCTCTGGCAGAGCATCGTCAGGGTCAAGTAGGTCATCAATAATATCTTGAACCTGTGGTCCCGCAAAGTGCAACAGCAATGCTCTTGAGCGCTTCTTGTTCGAAATGTCCTTGCCCACTAAATAATACTCAAAAGACTTCACCCACTTCCGCCAACGGATGGACACCTGGGAAGCTGGGCCTGACGTATCAAAACTCTGAAGACGCTTGTCGTCTTCCATCTTCGTCGCCAATGTTACATTCCCACTCACAAGAACACACAGTTGTGGAATGTATTAGGATTATTTACAAAGAGAATAATGGACGTGCAAAGTAACAAGATAGAAAGAAGAACAAACTCAGACACAGGAAGTCTGAACTGGAGTGCGCATGCGCAGAGCATAGCGTGCAAGCAAACATGCGCAGAGCCTAGCGTGCTTACGCGCACATACAAACATAACAGTAAGCAGCAACCGTTCAACACTTTCTTCGGACTTAATAACTCACAGGCCGCGAGTTCACAGGCTGGTGGGATGCAGCTCTCACTGTGCCCCATACAGTGCACTTCACGTACAAACTAGTTCACGGGGAGCCCCAATACATGAAATATTCATTAGTTTGAGGGAAAGCAGCAAGTACAAATGCAGTTTAGTTAAAGACTTGCTGCTTATGGCTTACAATATCTACACCAGGGAATCCTCTACTGTCTTCACATACTGCAAGTACACATCATTACACATCCAACATGTACACCACTGTGAGCCACAACACAATTCCATTCCTTACCACGCGTCCAGGTGACAGTGGCAACGTGGGACTGCCCGGAACTGAGCCTCCATCCACGGAGAGAACAGAACGCCGCGGGTGAACTGCATGGGGTGAATCTGTATGGCTGTGGTCAAGAGACAACTGGCGGTGTTTGCCAGACAGCATTGCTCCGGACATACTAGTAGATCCTCCTGGCACACAACCAGTGCTGTATGTTCCGGACCTGGATCTTTGCCCAGGCTGACGCTGCTGGGGTGATTTGCTACGAGATTGACGTAGAGGTTGCGGAGTGGGCTCATCAATTGAGGATGAATATTCGCCACCGCTGTCATAGTGGAAAGGCGAATGGGAGCCCCTCGGTGAACGACTGCCTGGTATTGGCAAGCCATCGAATGATCCGCGCTGTTGTCTGCGATGCTGCGGTTGTGGCGACGGACAAGTGGAGGAAAGTTCCGACTCGCTGTCTAATCCATCCTGGTGAGAGAAGGGTCGACGGTAGATGGGACACGGCAGTGACGAGATGCGGTGATTATTGCCATCGCGTCCAGGGCTGACAGATCTGGGCGCATCATGACCTAGTGATATACCAGCCAACATTTTGACTGATTCTCCTACCAATGGACTAACTGTTTTTGGCCCTCGTGGCTGCAGAAAACATACGTATAAATGGTACATTACTTATTTGCTTTGTATGGCCAGTAGAAGCAATTTTCAATTGGAAATTTAATGTTAGCCCCAGCACCCGCAAACATGCAAGCACCTCCAAGTGCACCCGCACACCCAGCTCGGGCACTCGTGTGACCCCGCTGACAGACACATAAATACATGCCCCCCCCCCCCACACACACACACACGCCGCCGGCGTACCCATTCTCTGACACGCAGACATCCGAGGCCTCGACACCCGCACAACATACTACTCACTATTGCATGCACCAACATACAATTGACACATTGGGTTGGGGGTTGCCATGATTTCTGTTGGACAATTCAAATATTCAAGAATATGCTCTTTGATAATAATCGATTTAGTGATTGAGTAAAGGTGCATGCCTGTGATGAAAGAACAGTCCCGCGTAAGGACCGGCCCACCGCGGGCTATGCCGCACTGCCCGCAAAGGGCTATGTCATCCAGCCCGCCGTGGGCCAACCACATACTGCCCACCGAGCAGACAGAATAGGGCCCCCCTCCCCCCCCCCCTCCCAACCGGATAAATAAAATGCCACCACAAAAGGGTGGGAGAGAGGGGAAAACTACCACTTGGCACAGAAACTGTAACTGCAAAGAACGCTCCTTCGCACCGAGACAGCTCAGCAAAACACGTCTCCAAATTAGACGCCATATCTACGATTGTCCGTAAAATTTTGCCAAGCTACACGCTGAGCACACGGCTCAGTCACGAGGTGGTCACATGGCGCGCGCTCGCAGCACTCCACCGCCAGCATGCGTGTGGCTGGGCCGTAACTAGGCTTCACTGCGCAAAGGCCACATTTAAAAAGGCACTTTTGACTGTCCTGGCTCCCTCAATGCAATAGAACAAGTCAAAGTGCTTGACACTAGCTTTAAAAGTACCACACCTCTCCTGTCAGCTCATCCCCGGCAGTGTCCTTACTGGGTGTCGTTACTGAGTGTCTTAAACTCAGTGGCCAGTCGTAGATCTACAGTCCAATCAGAAATGGGCGAACAGTGCCGCTGTGTATTGCAACACCCAGATTGGGCTTAATGTAACCTCAACAGCATGGCTTTTAGAATTAACAATACGTAACTTGTGTGGGTTTTGGATGTGCCAAGTTGCATAAAACCTGCCCTAATTTTGTAAAATGGCCGAAAAGCAAACTTCACTCCCTTCCATTTATCTGGTGTCTCAACATTGAGCAAGAATAACTACAGGATCCTTATTAAAAGGGGTCTTGGTTTGCCGAAACACATTCTTATAGAATTCTATGCTTTCATGGTTGTTAAGAAAACTCAGTGAGTCTTCTTTTCTGAATATACTGCACACACTAACCAAAGTCGATGATTTCTTCTTCTTCGGCTTGGACACCTCACTATCGCTGACAGCTTCCAGGCTGAAAGTTGGCCTGGACAGTACTGGGCTGGTTGTGGTTGGGTTGGAAGGACGTCTTCCACCTCTTGCTGGGTAGCGTGTTAGGTCAAAGCTGAGAAGGATTTTAAAGAATTTAAAAAGACAGTGTGTGTAGTGTTGACAACGTCATACCAGTTCTAAATCAAATACGAGTCATAGTTGAGGCTCCAGGGACATCGAAGGGTATTTTGGGGTGGTAAGGTCAGCCATCTATACAAAGTACAATTTAGTCTTTGGACCGGGTAGGGGTGGCTCCGCTGAACAATTTCGAAATTTTGAGCTCAGATCAGTGTCCTTTACTGACTCACAGGGTGACTGGGGCAAAGAGTGCCGCGGGTACGGTCAATACCGTAGGGACCGTAGCTCTGTTGGGCGTCCCTGGGCTCTCTCGCTCTCTATCTCTCCCTCTGTATCAATGAGCCATGGTCGTGATAAACAAGTTAGTGAAAGAGGAAACAACTACATGCGCTCAAACATTAGTCACAAGTGCACGCGTACGCACACACACACACACACACACACACACACACACCCAAGCGTAGGATGAAAACTAAGTGATATTGAGGTACTCACACATCACACTGCTAGTATTTTGGTATGTGCAGTAGGTAAGTCAGTACTATCTATTCTTATCTTCCTGTAATGGTGTAGATAGGTTAAATATACATCATTTATCTGCACTGTAGCGTACCTGTCTTGGTCAGTATCGCAAAACGACAAATCAGGCTGGGAACTTGCCAGTCCCGTGAGGTGATTTGGCCGCCGTTGCTTCCTGTGCGCACTGGCCATCTCCTTGCGCATCCACTCCGTCGGTAATGCCATGCGCCGGTGCAGAGATGATGAGCTCAACGACGGCTGCATTGCGTACCATTGAGCGGAGTCATTGAGCAGAGCTTCCTCCAGTTTGATGACACACTGGGGAGGGGGCACAGGACAGTGATGAGAAAACGAAGGAAATATGGACCTCGTATGGGAGGGCACAGAAAACCTGGGGCTGTCACACACGGTACGACCAGCACTTTCCGCCCAAGATGATCCTGGCACCCAATCCATCCAAAAAAGCAATTAAAGAGAGCCAAAAAGTGCCCTGTTCGGCCGAAAAATCCGATTTTATTCCCAGGGGGGACACCCGTTGTACCACTCCCCACTGCCCTGTGACCCCCCCCCCCCTGCAACACATAATGAAGGTAGCAGATCGGTGCTCAGTTCAGGAGGGGAGGGGGGGGGGGGGGTAGAAGTGATAGCACACATCAGCAGCGAGCAGAGAGAAGAATGATGCTTTATCACATGCAGGACGAAATCAACAGACAACAACCTGTACATTATGTACTGAAGTAATAGTTTAGGAACAGCAGATGAGTGTAGCTCCAAGTGCATACGAGAGCGACGAAGAAGAAGAAGAGCAATGTGATAAACAGCAAACGACAGATAACAAGCTACGGGAAAGCAGGAGGAATTACCGATTACAGAACGTGTATCGGCCCACCGTGAGGTGCAGAGGTCAAACATAACAGGAAACAACTCTGAATATGGTGTACCATATGCGTTCGCTATAATTATGTGTTCAGGAAGCCATATCACGTCACAAAATGCAGTGTCCATACATGCAGGTATTCTTTTCTGTCTTTTCTAAGACTCTCCAATGGCGTCACAAACGACATGACCAGCACGATCATGGTCGTACTACTTTTCATCCAGGATGGTCCGCCCAGAGTGCCTGTAGCACTAACATGTGCCCTGTTGACCGAAAAATCCGATTTTGTTCACCAGGGGGACACCACAGCACCCCCGGTCGCGTACCTGCCAAGTATCCCGATTTTTTCGGGATTATCCCGCAATTTTGGATGAACTCCCGCGATCCCGAAATCCCTGTCAATTATCCCGAAAATCACTGTACACGAAACAAGTCTTGATAGTGTTCTCAGAGCACTTCAAAAGTGACTTGTCTAGTTCTCCTTATTGATTCTGTACTGCCATAGCTGTAGTACCGGTGGATCTACTAGTGCTCCTTCCATGAACTGTCGCCAGTGGTCGCTGAAAAACCTCCGCTTCGAGTCCTGAACATGAGTATCACTGATCATGTCACAACATTTTGGCGTCATCATTTCGAAAAAGTTGGCAATGGAATTTTGGAAAAAATATGACATATCCCGAAAAACCAAGGCAAATCCCGAGAATTTGCCCTGGCAATCCAGAAAAAGCACTCTCAGTACTTGGCAGGTATGCGGTCGTATCACTCCCCACCGCCCTGTGGCACCCCAGTCCTCACTGCCCTGTGACACCCTACTCCCCACTGCCCTGTGACACCCTACTCCCCACTGCCCTGTGACACCCTACTCCCCACTGCCCTGTGACACCCTACTCCCCACTGCCCCGTGATGCCCTACTCCCCACTGCCCCGTGATGCCCTACTCCTCACTGCCCCGTGACGCCCTACTCCCTACTGCCCCGTGATGCCCTACTCCCCACTGCCCCATGACGCCCTACTCCCCACTGCCCTGTGACACCCTACTCCCCACTGCCCCGTGACGCCCTACTCCCCACTGCCCCGTGACACCCTACTCCCCACCGCCCTGTGACGCCCTACTCCCCACCGCCCTGTGACGCCCTACTCCCCTCTGCCTTGTGACACCCTACTCCCCACTGCCCTGTGACACCCTACTCCCCACTGACCCGTGACGCCCTACTCCCCACTGCCCTGTGACACCCTAGTCCCCACTGCCCTGTGACGCCCCCTGTGTTACTTTTCCTCAGCGCCCAGGTCAACACACTTTCGTCAACACCGGGTTTCCGCACACAATCGAATCACAGTTCAGTTTTACTCCACTCCGGAGAACACAATAATTCAGACCCATGGAACATAGTAAAATCACAACAGCTACAAACTACTTTACTTGTAAGTTGTAGAATCTAGAGCACTGGTCCAACACAACAAGAACCAAAACATTACCACGCAGCCAGCAACATGTGCATGCGAACAACAACTCACAGAACAAAAGGCACATGCTTCCAAAACCAATACACACTCCGGCCCGGCCGGCCCGTGTCGCATATGCCAGCGATACATGCATAAAAGGAAGTACAGTGAGAAGGAAGTAACGCAGGTCACATGAAAGCGCGTAGCATTCCCACGTGTAAGCTAACACGCACCACAAATCACGTATCACAGACACAGGGCCTAGGGCACGACTGCAACTGTGCACTACGCACACATTCAAATACAGCTGTAGACACGCACTGCATAAATCTACAAGTACTCGTACAAACTGTGCAGGTCAGCGACACCTGCAGCATCTGCTGGAACAATGGCACAAGGGAGTACTAAGAGTAAGAAAACGTAACATTCCCTCCCTCATGAGCGAACGTGGGAAAACTGAGCGAATCTAATGCCTATACGCTATTGGGCAAAACCGTAACTTGATTCACGGCATTAACAACGGCGAGCATGCCAGTTAATGTCACTCATTGAGATCACTTAGCCGGACTTCGGCAGAGGCTGGGAGAGTCACCTTGACTGCCGACGGTTCCACATCTAGGGGCACCAAGCGGTGGACGCTGCGCTTGTACACCTTCCCTTTGACCTTCACGTCCACTACGCGCACCTTCCCGTCCTTTCCAGGATACGTAGCGACCACTCGACCAAGCGGCCACTGAGTCCTTGGGAACGATTCGTCCAGCATCATTAGGATTTTGCCGACTGTAACCGATGCACTATCACGGTGCCACTTCGTCTCCAAATTGGCTCGAGCAACAATCTCGCGGAGCCACCTCTTCCAAATGCGCTTCATCAGATCCTGAAGCAACTGCCAGCGACGATGCAGACCCCCCTCCGGGGTTGCTTCCAACGCTGTTGCAACTCTCGAATGCCCAACCAAGAAATGCAAAGGCGTTAGCGGCTCCAGGTCTTCACTTTCCTCCGAAAGCGTTGTCAATGGCCGCGAGTTGATGAGAGCCTCGGCCTGCACCAATACTGTCTGGAGCTCTTCTTCAGTTAAATCAGCCTTGTACAGCACAGTCTGGAGAACTTGCTTCATGGAGCGCACGATCCGTTCGAACACGCCGCCGAAATGAGGAGAACGAGGCGGATTGAATTTCCACTCAATCCCTTGGCCTGCATACTCCGATGTGAGGTCGGCATGGTCAAGCTGGGCGACTGCCTCCCTCAGCTCTCGCTCTGTCGCAACAAAATTGCTTCCATTATCAGTAAGCAACATCTCGGGTGTGCCGCGACGCTTGCAGAATCGCGTCAGGGCCATCTTGAAGCCAGTCGTGTCGAGAGAGGTAACCAGCTCCAAGTGACACGCTCGAGATTGCAGACACGTGAACACTGCCACATACCTCTTCTCTTGTGTACGTCCTCGACCTCTCTTCACTAGAAATGGTCCGGCGAAGTCCACAGCGGTGCGGGCGAATGCCAGAAGTGGTCCTTGCGTGCGGAGGTCTGGGAGAGGACCCATCCTGGGAGTGGCTGGTTTGCGCCACACCTTCTGACATCCCACGCAGTGGTGCCGATGTGACTTCACCATTTGCTTGCCTTTCACAAGCCAATAGTGATCGGCGAGATTGGACAGGATGTGATTCGTGCCAATGCTGTGTCGGCATCGCTCATCCTCTCTCCGAATGATCAGCTCTGTCACTCGGTGTCGAGGTGGGAGAATAATTGGCGATCGAAACTCAGATGCCAAGTGGTAAGCCGTACGCAGTCTCCCACTAACTCTTAATACGGGGTATCCACTCTGTTCGTCGATGCGCGGTTGCAACTTGAGAAGAGGGGCACCGCTTGGCAACTCCTTCCCTTTTCTCAGCGTGCTCGTCACTTCACCATAGCTCTCATCTTGCGCACGCATGATCCAATAGTGCTCCGCTCTTTCAAACTCAGCTGGTGAGAGCTCGGGCACGGCAACCTCCTTGCTGTTCTTGATTGCAATCTTCACACGGGCGTCGCTGAGCGTTAGCTGTGGCAGTCGGCTCTTGCGGCGATTGTGTATGGCACGCATGCACCAAGCCGTGACCCGCACAAGACGGCTCCACGAGGAATAGTTGTTTGGACTTAGCCGCAACGGTGGTGACATCATTGCCGTCATCGTGATTTCAGGAGTCTTGAGCATTTGTGGTAGCTCCTTCGGCACAGCTATCCTGCGATCTGGCCATTCGCTCTGTTGCTGTGCCAGAAACGTTGGTCCATGCCACCACCTGCTCTCCTCTGCCAGCTGTGTGACTGTCATCCCACGGGTGGGGAGATCCGCTGGATTTCTGACTCCGGGAACATGACGCCAGTTCCGTGCCATAGACTGCTGTTGGATCTCCGATATCCGGTTGCCGACTTCCAGCTTGAACTTTCGGCTGGGTGATCGAATCCAATATTGGACATTCATGGAATCGCTCCAGTAGTGGCTGTCGGCTGCTCTCACACCAAGAGCTTCGCTAATGTACGTCCCAAGACGCACACCCAGGACCGCTCCCTGCAGCTCTAGCATCGGAATGGATCGACGCTTGATCGGTGCTGGTCTTGCCTTGGCCATCACCAGGGTAACCTTCGCTGTACCATCTGGTCGCTCTGCTCGGACGTATGACGCAGCGGCGTAGGCCCGTTCTGATGCGTCGGTGAACGTGTGCACACTCAGACCCATCGACGTTGTGCTATCTTGAAAACAGCGATCAATGCGTAGCTGTGTTAGCTTAGGCATCTCAGCAAACCATTCTTGCCAAGCTACCGCCGTCTCTTCAGGCAGTGGGTCGTCCCAGCCGAGCCCCGCAAGACATAGTTCCTGGAACAACAACTTGCTCCTGATGGTGAATGGTGCTAGTTGCCCTCTGGGGTCAAACAGTGATGCCATGCGACTGAGGACGGTGCGCTTCGTGCACGCAGCGGATGTGGGTTCCTGATAGTGAAACGTGAAATAATCTTCGCTGAC